TGATTACATTTTGATCCATGTCCCTAACCCCAAATAAGTACTTTTTGAACAACTGTAACAAAAAGAGCTTAAAGCAATTTACAGCAACAGCAAAAGACTCCACTGGGGAACAGCATGACATCTATCCGCTTTCTGCCACCATTCCCACAGGGCCAACTTGAAATGCCTTGGGGGAAGGACAAGTTATTCTGGCTATGCCAGCTGTTCTCCGTAGCATCATTATTCACTGGCACAGCCAAGAGTACTTCTGAAAATGCTCTAACTTGCACAAGGAATTGATTTGTGTGTAGGAGCTTTCAAGACTAGAGAAGTGGGGGGTTGTAGGGCACTGATGGAAAAGTCGTCGCTCTAAGGGTCACTGAACGTTTCTCTGACACTACAGGAGTAGTCTTTAATGTAACACTGAAAATTGGATGAAGCATTTTATTTCCACTCTCTTGTATCAATCATTCTTGCTTCCTGTGCAAACACAGACATTTCTGTCATTAAGCTAAAAATAAAACCTTTTGAGAACTCAAGCAACTGGTCTGTCTAGTTCTTTTCATGTAATGTTTTTTCTGTTAGTAGCAATAACAGGATGTGCTAACCATTTCTCAGTGTAATAATCTGGTCTAGTCACTGATATAAACAACTTGCCCTTTGACCTTATAATTTATTCACAGCAGGCCTAGTACAAGACAGCTTAAGTAATAAAAATATTAATAAATAATTTGCAATTATAGACATTTTCTTTCCTGTGTTAAAATAAATGTAATAATGTCTCAAATAGAGTCCTGTGGAGAAAGGTGTCTTGCACAGAGCTGACTAAGGTAATATTGTTATCACTGCTGCCTTTCCAAATAAATTTCACCTAAAAACCTTAGCATGGTTATGATTCTTTCTCCAGTGAACCTAGGGAGTCTAAAGTGTTGTGCAAAAGGCATGTCCGCGTTTGGGGTAAGTAAATACTTCTTTGCAAATTGGTCATGCTAATAACTAGAATGTATGCACATGGAGGAGATTAAAAACAGTTTGTAAGAGGTTGAGCGTCCACTGTCATTTCCCTCATCTCTCCCTTATTTCCTCTTTAGTCAACAAACTCTCATCAAGCCTTTCATTGCCCTCCTCCCCTGCTGACTTAAGGAAGTGTTTTTGAATGGTGCTCTCTGAGTTAATTTTAGGGTTTAGGTCTAAACGGCCTGTGTTTCTGTTTCCATCCTGATCAGGAAATACAAAGCCGCAGTTCGTATTCATGCTCAGGTTTGCAAAGAACCATTTCCCCAGCACTTATTTTAAATCTTGTTCTTCTGAGAGGAAAAAGCCCTTCCAGTTTGAAATGAAGCCAAATTAGTTTCCCCTTCCTGAAGTATTTCTTGTGTTTCCAGAAAAAAAAAATGCTGAAAGTCAGGAAAACATTAATCTACATGTAGACCTATATGGATGCTCATGTTTTGTTGAGAAAAATAATGAGACTGCAAAGTTTCTGAACCCTGTCTCATATACATTAGATTCACAAAGGGAATTTTAGTTCTACTGGAAAACTTTTCCCTGAATTGAGGAACTCAGTACTATAATGATTTTTATAACATAGAGTGTGACTGTAAAGAACTGCCACTTTACTCATCTAGTCCAGTCATCCTGTGGGATGAGTATTCACTGCATTTTTAAGGGTTGTGCCTTTTATATTACACTCAGGAAGTTGTAGTTAGACTATTTAAAGCAGAAATTGATGTCTAGTGGGAGACTAGGTATGAGGCAATGTTTTATGTGGCACAAACCAAAAGCTAATAAGAATTTTTTTCACATGCATTACTTCTGTGCTAACGCATTAACAAACTGTGGTGAAATATTCATCATTTATAAATAAACATTACAAATAGTCCCACAGAATATATAAGGGAAGACTGAAACTACAGCCAGAAGCAGGGTTTTGCGTCCCACTAGCCCAGTGCAGATACAGTCTGCAAGAGGGATCTTGTTGGAGCTGCAGCCCTGGAAGCCCATGTCAGGGTGCATGAGTCAACACCTATAAGCTGGCTGGCAAATGCCAGAGCATGCTCACCCGATCCCTGTAATTTTACCAAGCCAGAGGGAGAAAAATCTGAATAAAGCTTCAGTCTGGGGATGAAACATGGTAGCTCACACCAACTCCATGACTGTTATTTTCTGGGACATGCTAACTTCAGTGGAGTTGCCTGAGTACACTGTGGAAAATCAGGTCTGCTGCTCCTATGAGAGTTGGAATAGGTGACTAATATTCAATAGCTTATACCTCTTGAGGAAACAATTTATGGAATATGGGATATGAGAGATTTATTTGGAAACCATATGGAAATATTTATGTGTTGTATTGGTGGGTCTGGGACTAATGTAACAAAACATGATACTCCATATTTGTTGACTGTATGCTGTTGAATTGGAGGGTTTACCTTTCTATGGATTCATTCAAAAGTATTCAGAGGTTTTTTTCCAGGACTAGAGTGTGTTAGGGACCAAATATTTACAAGAGAAATAGACTTACACGCAGCTCAGTTGAAAAGGCTGGTTTTCATAAAAAGAGCAAACAACAACAAAGTAAAGACTTGGTCTGGAGTACAGAATATGAAATGGTTTAATCATTTCAGTCATTGTTGTCATGTTCTACTAAAGTAATTTTTCCAGGAACCACTTATAAATGGTAATTCTGGTAAACTGGTGTCTTATGTCCATGTAGTCTCTTTCCTCGGAAGCTCTAGACAGGTGTGATTTGATGCCAGATTAGATCTGACTATCTGATCTCTCTCTGACTGGTCAGCTTCAGAAGTAATTAAGCACTGCTGGAAGAACCCAAGGAAGAATCCAGTCTATGGTCTCACCCAGAGCCTCTGGAAGTACACCGTGAAAAGCTAGTCCCCTTTTCCATGAGTTGGCATCACACACCTCTCTACTGCTTTATCTGCTTGGGTTTCTATATACCATATCACACAAGTTCCTGTGTGAAATCTCACAGTAGCTTTGCCTGTAGGTAAAAGCAATGTCAGTTTTCCTTGTAGAGATTGCAGCTGAGTTCACTGCAGAAATTTAAGAAAGAATGATGATCTGTGAGGCTGCTTCTGTTCTTTGAGCACCTGTAAAAGATGATTAATTGTTCCCCCCAGAAATATTTAAAAAAAATGTTTTCTCACCTTTATTTTTCCATCTGTCTCCTCTGAAACTACATCTGAACTTAAAATTTGTCACAAAATGTAGGTGGTGGAAATGCCTTACCTGTTGCCTGAAGTTTTAGGAAGAGAAAATTGGAAAAAAACTTAGATTTTAAAGTAAAATGTACATATATAATGTACACATATCATAAACCGTATCAGACATTCTCTCTCTAGATTTTTCCTTTATCTTTAATATTACAGTAATTAATATAATCAGATAATATTCTCAAGTACCTTTAATGAGCACAGGAGACAGACAGAAGAGTCAAAGTTGCCAAAATTTCAGCTATATGGAGCCCCAAGGCCACAGGGGCCTAATTTTCCCTGGAATATAAGGAAAAGTTAGCGTGATATTTCCTGAGGGTAGTGTACATGTTGATACATGCTAAGGAACCCTTTGGTAATGGTGTTATGAGTCTTCTAGGATGACAGATTAGAAAAGTGTTGATTGTTGTTGACGGCCCTAGG